CATACCGGGCCGTTTAGTTAGATGACAATCGCATTATTAGGTATCTCAACAAATCTTAGGAGTTAACCCCAAGTTCAACATACTGACTAAAAAATTGGTCCACTTGAACGACGATATTTATTACTTAAACCACCATCACTTTATATTTTTTTTTCCTTTCTGTTTTAGATATTCACGCAAACCTATACAATTGCTATTTTCTCTAGCCGTCCCCAAGACTGAACTGATAGACAGAAGGAAGATAGCCAACAGCGTCCACCGCCATTTAATTAATTAGTGGAATTTGGATGACAATTTTATAAAACTCCTGCGACCACAAAGTGTGTAGCGCGATTTTGTTGCAAAGAGACGCGAACCATGTACCCTTTTATTCACAGGTTGAAACGCTAAAATCTAGACCATGTCCGGTCCATTATTATTAACTTTTTATTAACTTTTCAATTACAGTGCTGTTAGTATTTCAATGATATATATTATTAATCGGAATTACTTGTTCTTGGAAATATGATACCTTAAAATGGGAAATACTTTGAGAAAAGACATAAAATAATGGATGTGTTTCTGCGTGTAGTTTCATAAAATAATCAACAGATGGCGAAGCTCAACTCAAACTTATTCGATTATTCCTTGAACCCTGACTGTGCATTTGTTGCCAATGCTATACAGCTGACGCCAGACAGTCCAGCAGCGTGTATTTATTTTTATTGGTGCATTGAGAGATTCACTGGCCGCCAAACTTTAATTGATAGGTGACGTACCAAAACCGGTTTGGCTCGAGACCCTTAATTTCTGTTTTACAGTCAGTTGAAACATACTGTTAACCTCAACTGCCAAAGAAACTGAACGAGTAGAAAGTGAGTATCTATTCTTACGAAGACTTATCCTTATAGCAGGACTTCAACTTGGGTAACATTTTCCATTTTAATTACGCCATATATATACCGATGCATTCATAATGACTGTTAATCTCAAAATATATTGTTGTTGTTGTTTTTTATCATAAACTTTTTGTTTCTGAAAATTATATAATACGGTCGTACGTGAGGTTGAAAAAGAAACATATTTGTAAGCTAATAATTATCATGTATATGTAGGCATTTGTGTCAACAGTTTTACAAGCTCGAGAGGGAAAAATGTGTACAGAATTTTAATTGGAGCCTACTATATCGTTTTTTACTATTTAATATAAGGAAGTCTTAAAATGAATTACACAAATTGGTAAGTCATAGAGTAAATCTTACTCCTCTTCTGGAACAAAAATTTACTCGCTATTCGATAATTACATCATTTCCAGTGTAACTGGCGGGATGATAAAAGACACCCACTGCCTCTCTCTTAGCCTTCGTTTTTGTTTTGTTTTTACTCGTATCATAGTACATGTAAGAACAAGTGTAAACCTGTTAATGAAATGTTCTAAACAACAATGAACCAATAATTCCTTCAAGTTTGTACAGTTTTACCGAACTTGAAAATATTGATAATCTGTGACTGCTGATGAATAAAGGAAATAAAATAAGTTTAAAGATTTTTTAGACTATTAAATGGATTTTTTTTTTTGCAGTGAATCTCATTAAATGAGACAATTTAAACAGATGTTGGTTATGTAACGAAATATATGAACCGTAAAATACGCTTTAAATCAACATGTTGAGCTTCAACTTTCTATAATTGTTAACGAAATCTCTTTTAGAATCTAGATAGTTAAAGTGATTAATGACTCAGTCGTTGGAAGGCTATGTGCATGATAACTTTTCGTTTTAACCACCACTCTCAAGTGCTCCAGTGGCACAGCGGTATGTCTGCGGACTTATCACGCTAGAAACCGGGTTTCGATACCCGTGATGAGCAAAACACAGATAGCCCACTGTGTAGCTTTGTGCTTAACTTTAAATAAACAAACGAAATTACTTTCAATTTTAATGACCTTGAACTTGTTTGAGACAGAGCGAGTCGACGCCAACTTCGCTGAACTGCAAATATGCTTACGACTTTTATTTTTGTTTGTTTTTGTTTTTTCATAAGAGCGTCAAAGCCTTTCATTACTCTTTCAAGATTTCTAGGACACTGAGCTATTGACCAATTTGTTTGGAATTTCCTCTTGTCTTTTACCTTTTATGACAGAGTTTAACAAAAACAATACATCGCTGCTAACCTTTATATATTATCTTCAGGCAGTGTATAATATACGAGTACACTGGATTAGCTCATTTGTCCATGACAGGTGCTACCATTTGCTTCATGTACCACGATTATGTTTAAATAAGTACTAAACAGATGAGTGACTTACGATTTCAGTACAGTTGTGCATACATATATATATATATAAGCATCTCTGTGTGGTCTGAGTATTAGATATGCTTGTGTATATAAGAAAAAATACTCCCTTTTCCAGTTTAAAACATGTGTTATTAGCTTTATACCGTTGACAAATTAAAGCCCACGTAAAAAGAGTATTTCAGGTTTTTTATCTTCTGAGCATTGTTTCTTGTTTCTTACATGTTTAGGTGAATGTAGTAAAAAAAATGACAACAGCCCATTAATTTCACAATTTTCCTAGAAAAGTAAGGTATTCAAAAGTTGTTCTTACGACTGTTTGGAAGATTACGTTAACGACCTTAAAGAGAGAGGTCACTTTGAAAAGTCAATTAAGGTCACTTACAAAAGCCACCTATGCACAGACTATATCTGTATTGTTGCATATGTGATATGCATGCTACTGGCTTTAGTCAACATACTTGGAATGTCAAACATTCTTTACATTTTGACTGATATATATATATATATATATTTATTTCATATTAGTCATTATAATACAAAAAGGGTTAATGCATGTTAAAAACACTTAAGTGTATTTTATTATTGTTGTTATTTTTTACATTCTTCGTGTAGGTACCTTGAAGTAGTGACCTCATTATGGCTTCCAAAAAAAAACGTTTTCGTCACCGGGGGTGCAGGTTTCATCGGTAGCCACACAGTGGTTGAACTTTTAAATGCTGATTATGATGTCATCGTTATTGATAACTTTGTCAATGCTGTCCATGGTAAGATTTAATATATAAAATTTGCATGTTACTCCTATATGATCATTCGTTTCAAGATTTGACTGAGTAAAGAACTGTGTGTTCGAATTGATATATTTTCAATAAATGCTGATTTAATAAGTCTTTTGCATATAAACTAGGCCTGATTTTATAGCCAGTTTTCTTCTTACATAATCACTCGTTTAAAATAGCGATACATTAATTCATATGGCATTTTTTATACTGATCATACCTTGTTCGCAATAAACTGTTTTGTAGAATATGAAATAAATATTAACATTTAAGTCTAACTTTTACATTACTAAGAAATCATTTCTTTAAACCCTAATAATTCAAATTAAAACTAATATCTAATGAAACTTACTGTATAAAGCATATAGATTTGATATTTGGACAAAAGTAGCATAGTCGCAAGTTTCATTTCATGTATTAAAAATAAAATTATGAAATCATTTGAAGAATTTTAAAAACTGTCGATTTTTTGTGTCCAATTGATCAATGGGTGATATCTTATTAAATTACTGAATAAAAAGGTATTTATCATAAACATAAAATAAGCCTTGTCTTAAATATGATTGTTTTTAATTCAGTTACAAATACCTTTTTTAATTGTTTATTTTTGTATTTAGATAAGGCCAGTTGAAAAATACTTATGCATTTTAGGTTTTATTACCTAGTACTTCTAACTTTTTTATTTTGTTTTAATATACAAAGTGACAGAATAATAATGGCTGGAGACGGCTTAAATGGGTAATGAAGAAAACTTTAATATAAG